GCCGCCGCCTGTACGTGGTAGGGCGTTTCATCTCCCCGACCTCCTCTCCTCCTCTTCCCGCCAGAGAGAGGTACCTCTTAATAATAATTTTGATCGGCAAATTGGCGTGGTGCATATTTCAGCCTTCGATCGTTATCTCGCGAAACTTTGGGCCCTTCCTGCGGTTTCGCGACGGCGAGGAGAAAGAGGAGGAGGGGGAGAAGGCAGCGGCCGAAGAGGAACCAAGCCCCGCGGGGCTCTCGCTTCGCGTTTTCGTCCACCTCGAGCTTCCTCTCTATCCTTTTTTTTTCCCCCTCCCTTCTCCGTAGGAATTTTCCTCTCAGCCCAACCCAGCCCAGTTTGTTGTTTCTTTTCAACGCGGAGTTTGTCACGTTTGCAAAAACTCCTCTACTGTTCCTCTACTGCTGCTCGGCGAGCAAAGATCTCTTCGTTCAATCGTGCCTGAAGAAAAGAATCGCAATTGTACACGGCAATCCACTACGCGGTAATCCACGCGTGGAATTCGAACTTCGAGGCGAGAGATAATCGGGCGAAAACCGTGTGGCCGATAATCGTGTCGCGTCGAAGAAGTTTCCGCGGTGGTGGTGGTAGTTCGTCGGGTGGGCATCTTCGGTATGCAGATTCGCGGCGCGAGTTATCGGCCCACCTCTCGGCCTCTCGGATATCGTGGTCGAGCGAAGTTAGCGCCCGATCCTATCCAATCCCTTTCGGACCGGCTTGATCCCTTCTCGGTCGACAAAGATACTCCAACTATTTTCCATGGAGGAGGAGGAGGAGGAGGAGGAGAATTAGCGACTTTTGGCCAAGTTTTCGAGGACGGACTACTCGCTCCTTAGCCGATGGAAATCGTCTAAATTCGGGTCACGAATTCCTGGCTGTAAATAAAACCATTGTCTTTCTCTCCCCTCCATCGCTGACATATTTCTTCGCATCGTTCCACGCGCGTGTCATCAATTTCTCCTCCGGTGTGTAACCGGAGAGAGAGAGAGAGAGAGAGAAGCGTGTTGCATTCTTTTTTTAGTTTCTCTTTTTTCTGTACGATATTATCTCTCTCTCTCTCTTCATCTTTGAATACACGATTGTACAACTTCGATCGTTGTTGTTTTTTTCTTTTTTTCTATTCTTTTTTTTTCTCTCCGTTCGACGTTCCTTCCATCGGTTACCATCGGCTCCGGAGGAGGAGCGAATAGTTCGGCCGACTTCCACGCGATGGCGGCACGGTTACCATCGATTCTCTCGCTGTATCGCGCTGCGAATACGCATCGTATCTGGGAATGCGGGGTTGCTCGAGTAATTTTTCGAGTGGCAACCCCTTGAAAAGAAGCTGCGCGCTGCTGCCACCTATCGAACCATCTCTTCGTCGAACGAATTCACACCGTGCGCTAAATAAAATTCCGCATTCTCTCTCTCTCTCTCTCTCTCTCTCTCCTCCTGATTTTTCGATTCTCGAAAAGTGGAAGTAAAGAGGGAAGGAAAAAAGGAAGAAAGAAGAAGAAGAAGAAAGTATCGGGGGGTCGTAGAGAGAGAATCCCTCGACGTATTTCGTATTAAAATATTAAAATATTCATTCCGAGGCATAAAGGCGAGCAAATTACTCCGGTCTTTCATTCAAGGGTTCGGTACGAACATCTGTACTTTCTTTTTTTTTTACGATTTCTACGACCTACCGCAACGTTCTAAATGCTTCGTTTCATAAATCTCTCTTTTCTTGCCTCGAGTTTTTCTCTCGCGAAAACGAGAATCCCCGTTTACGTTCATCCTCGCGACGAAGAGGACTCTACTTTTCTCCTCTCCGATCCGTTTCTCCAAAAATTCATCGATGCGCGCGAGTCAGGCTCACGCGCTGAGGAGGAGGAGGAGGACACGGATTCGGTTGTGTTTTTCACAAATGTTTTCGCGCCCCACGAGTACGGGGAGGGCAACGGGACGACGAGAGGCTCCCTAGGGTAGGGTAGGGTAGGGTCAGAAAAGAGCGGCTAAATTATGCAAGCGAGCGTGCTCTCTCAGGTAGCGTTTTCACGTAGCGGTTGTTGGCATTCTTCCTTCGTGTCCCTCCTCGCCGTCGGACGGATTCGCGCTGCGCTCGCTCGGTTTCTCCACCCTTTGAAAGAAGGAAACGACGGCGCCCTCCCTACCTGTCCTAACCAAATATTTCACGGCCGCGTGCAAATTCGAAAGAGAAAGGAAGGAAGGAGGGAAGGAAGAAAGTTGGACGAGGAAAAGGGAGGAAGGGTGGCGCGAAAAACGGGCGAGATCGAGGGGGGTTCGATCCGCGCGTGTAATAAAGTTGGCAAAGAAGCGATAATGCCGGGCCCCCGCATTAAAACGCTCGTAATTCCGGCGAAACGGGCATCTCAGGCGTATAATAACGGGCCGCGTAAATGACAGAGAGCCGGGGCAATAATTGGCATCGGCGGTGCGCACGAAATTCCTAGGTTCGGGTAGCAGCAGCCCCGGCTATACTTAGCCGGGGAATCACGACAGGCGTCTCCTCCTCGCTTCTTCTTCTTCTTCTTCTTCCTCTTCTTCGTTTTCTTCTTCTTCTTCTTCTTCTTCTTCTTCTTCTTCTTCTTCTTCCTTGTCGGGACACGCGCGTACTTTTTCCGAACTCGATTCTGATCGCGTCTCGACGAGGAGAGGAAAAAACGGAAAACGTTTGGCCCTGGACGTGCACGAGGAGGAGGGCGGCCACAGGTGCGAAGGCGCAAAGCCAGCTGGGAAAGCCAGTCGAAACGGGTACGACACAGGGAGAGATCTCGGGCGCACGATGATCTAACTCACCCCTCCCGAGGGGTGGCTGGCACGTACTGCATAATGCTGCTACCTGTGGCTCTCATTTAAATGTACTAAACCTCCTTCTCTCTCTCTCCCTTCCACCCTTGTCGACCATCTCGCTCGCTAGCTAGCTAGCTAGCTAGCTAGCTAGCTCGTTCGTTCGTTGCCTCGCCCACAGACACAGGCTTTTTTATTCGACCGTTTCTCCTGCACCGATACCACCCCCTCCGATTTTCTTTCCCTAATTAATCACACCCCTCCGCGAACCTGTTGCCAGACACGGCGATCCGTCTCGATCTCGAGTCGACGTCCACCTTCTCGCCGCCTCCCAGGAGGAGGACAGGAGGAGAGGTGCGATCGGTGCTCGTCCACCGTTGCACCTGTTGCACCGCGTGCTTGCTACGCGAGAGTGGGTGCGTGTTGAGGTTGCGATTGTCACCGAGACCAGACTTTCTTTCCGCCGCTTTCCAACTTGCGAAACGAAACGAGCCGAACGGGGCGAGGTGTCTCGAGGTGGATGGAAAAATCGTATTAAAAATAGTATTAAAAAAAAAAAAAAAAAAAAAAAACCTAGTTGCGCTTTTTGCCATCGTTCGAACGAGCTTTTCGTTCGAAACGAAAAGTAGAACGAAGAGAACTAGGAGGAAGAGATAGAGGAAGGAAAAGATACTTGTTGTGTCGAATCGCGGAAAGAGAGAAAGATCGATAGGGATTTCTCGCGGTGGTTGGTTTCGTCGGCGGTCGTGGCGTGAAAACGGCAGCTAAGCAGCAGCCGGTAGGTTTGGACAGCGGAGCTCGGCGGCGGCGGCGGCGGCGGCGGTCGCTGGAAGGTTGGACTAGTTAGAGGGGCGAGGGGTGAGCCGGGGTGAGAGCAGTGGCGCCTGGGGTGCGTAGGCTGCCTCGGAGGCGCGGTCGGTCCAGGTTCCGCCCGACGGTGACGTTCGTCGACGGCCACCTTGCGGCCGGGGCCAATGGTAACGCGAGCGGGAGGGCCGGGTGGGGATGTGCAGGAGCGTGGCGCGCATGACTCGGTTCCACCGAGCGCTCCGGGAGCCTCGGGAACCTCGAGCGAGCTGCGAGGCGAGGCAGTCAGTCGCTCTCAGCTACGACATGCATAACGCATGAGAGAGCCTGAGCGAGATCTTTTCGAGCCGTTGTCGTCTCTACTCTCTCGCGCGCGCGCGCGCACGTACACACAGTCTCCTCTCTTTCTCTCTCTCTCTCTTTCTCTCTCTCATCCTCTCTCGCGCCGAGACGTCGCGCGAGGAAAACACACACACACTCACTCACACACACACACACACACACGTACACACGCACGCACACGAACACGCACACTTATACACACACACGCACAAAAACACGGGGAGACACACGCGCGCGCACCAACCAAGACACCGCGCCGTGAATCGGCTTCATACTATCTTCTCCTCCCGTGATCGTGATCGTCCGCGTCGTCACACTCGTAATCCCGTGTTTGGAGGAACGACGGGATAGTCGCGAGTGTCGTCGTCGTCGTCGTCGTCGTCGTCGTGGTTGTGCGAACGACGGCGTTCAGTGGATCTCGGCGAACCGCGAGTGATCTACAAATCCTCCTCTTCTCATTGTTGGCGGAAGGAGGAGTGCCTGAGTTGCCCGAGTTGTTCGGTGTGCCAAGTTGAACGACAAAGGATTCGGATGCTCCGCGAGCCGGGATCTTGTTGGACGCGGTTGTGTTGGTGAGGCGAGAACATCTCTCCATCGAGGAGAGGAGGAGGACGGAGGAGGATACATATACATATATATATTGTTATTCCCTCCCCACCCTCCCCAACCCCCCCCCATTTTTTGTGGAAAAAATATACCGCGTTTCGTTTCGAGATCGTATCTCCTCGTGCCGTGAGGTGGAGGAAAAAAAGTATGGACGAAATATCGGTCGCCGCGAGTTCCACGATGCCTCTTACACGGGATATGGTGCGTACGATCCGCGAACGATGGACTGTGCGTTGATCCGATCCGAATTGTGACACGAGATCGGTGTGATATCGTTGGTAGAGCGAAGAAATCGAAGGTCGGATCTCGAGCGAGGGACGAAGATTCGGTTTGCGAAACTGACACCGCGTTGAGAACCGTGTTGCGACGACGAGCGAGAATTTAATATAATAACAATAATTCTCCGAGATACATTCGACTCGGGAATATAGAAGGAGGAAGAGGAGGAAGAAGAAGAGGAAGAAGAAGAAGAGGAAGGAGGAGGAGGAGGAGGAGGAGGAGAGAAGAAAAAGGAAGGAGAGAAAGCGCGAAAGTGGAAAAAGGGAAGAGAAGTGGTGGAAAGGAAGCGGGGAAAAGGGTGCCCTTAGAGGGCAGCCCGAAAGGGGATCGCGGAGATAGGAAGGAAAATCGAGGTGTGGACGAGCGGAAGTAGATGGCCGCTACCACGTACATGCCGATTAGTAGCGCAGTGTCGTCCGAGCTGGATGGTGGTTCGGGTACCGCGATCGGGATGAATATCGCTGTGGGTGGCTACTCCTCGGGCTCGCCTCGCAGCGCCGCCGACGCCGGGGAGATGAAGTACATGCCGGCGCCCCAACATCATCACCATCATCATCATCATCACCAGGTGACGTCGTCCCCGTCGCCCAACGGCCTCTCGCATCCGTCGCCCGCGAGCCTCTCGTCGGCGAATCCCTGGGTGAGCCTGCAGCCGAGCAGCGACCACTGGGCGGCCTCGATGGGCATGCACCACACCAGCCACCATCCGCATCATCATCCTCACCAGGCGAACGTTGCCGGCCTCGACGTGAAACCGTCGATCGCGGCCGCGGCAGCGACCGCCGCGGCGGCGGCCGCCGCCGCCAACGACCAGTCGATGCATCACCGCGGAGGGCCACACCAATCGCCCGGGATGGCGTCTCCTCACTCGAGTTGGCACGCGCCCGTCGTACCCTCGGCCCATTACAACCCGAGCGGTGGCGCGGCCTCGCCCACCACCCTCCAACAATACCACGCCGCTATGAACGGGATGCTGCACCCGCACCATCCCCAACACCATCCCCAACTTCACAACCACCAGACGGGACTGCACCCGAACCTGAGGGATCCGGGCTCGCCGGTCGGCCACTCGCTTCACCCGGGCCACGCGCACGACAGGGATCAGAGCGCCGGGGAGGAGGACACCCCGACCTCGGACGACCTCGAGGCGTTCGCGAGACAGTTCAAGCAACGCCGGATCAAGCTCGGTTTCACCCAGGCGGACGTGGGCCTGGCCCTCGGCACCCTTTACGGGAACGTGTTCTCCCAGACGACGATATGCAGGTTCGAGGCGTTGCAACTGAGCTTCAAGAACATGTGCAAGTTGAAGCCGTTGCTGCAAAAGTGGCTCGAGGAGGCGGACTCGACCACCGGCTCGCCGACGTCGATAGACAAGATCGCTGCCCAGGGTAGGAAACGGAAGAAGCGGACCTCGATCGAGGTGTCGGTGAAGGGAGCCCTCGAGCAGCATTTCCACAAACAGCCGAAACCCTCCGCCCAGGAGATCACCACGCTCGCGGACAGCCTCCAGTTGGAGAAGGAGGTGGTCAGAGTGTGGTTCTGCAACCGACGGCAAAAGGAGAAGAGGATGACCCCGCCGAACACGCTAGGCGACGGGATCATAGAGGGCGTGCCGCCCGGCCACCAAAGCCAGCCGGGCCTCCACCAGGGCTACCATCCCCAGGACCACCTTCACGGATCGCCCATGGGCCACAGCCACAGCCCCCCCATGCTCAGTCCCCAGGGTCTCACCGCGCACTCGTTGGCGGCTCACTAGCGTTCGCCCGGGCCTCCCCCGTTGGGCCTTTCGATAACTTCCCAAAACTCGGCGAACAATCCGGTCTCCTCGCCACCGGAAACCCTCCCTCCGTTCTACCATCATTACCTGCAGGCGCGCACCGGCAGCTACTCGACCACCTCGTAGTAGAGACGTGGCCAGCGAGAGGAAGAAGAAGAAGAGGAGGAGGAGGAGGAGCAGGAGAAGAAGAAGAAGAAGAAGAAGAGCCACGACGATCCGTCGTGTTGTTGCCGTGTTTCGCTCCCTAGTCCATCCGACTACGTACTACGTCGTCGTCGTCGTCGTCGTCGTGATCGTGCCGCCCTTGCCGTGGCTTTCCTCTAAACTTTTGTGTTCTTGGACGAGGTTCTAACGCAACGGGGAATTATTATTACGCAACGAGGCCGAGTCGTTCACAGAGAGAGAAGCCAATCAACGGGGAGGCTTGTGTGGCGCGATCGCGAAACGCGCCCGCCCAAAAGATACAAAAAAAGAAGAAAGAAAGAAGGAAGGAAGGAAGGAAGGAAAGAAGGAAGGAAGGAAGGAAGGAAGAAGGAAGGAAAGAAGAAAGGAAAGAAGAAAAGGAATAAATAAATAAATAACTAAGTAAATAAATAGAAATAAAAAAGGAAAAAGACGCTCTTCGAAATTCGCCGATCGGCTACGAATCTCAGGGATACGCCAACGTCGCAGCCGCCGCCGCAACCGCAGCAGCCGCCACCGCCGCCGCCGCCGCCGCCGCCGATCATCGTCTGTTCGTCGATCCGATTGACACACACACACACTCTCTCTCTCTCTCTTCTCTCTTCCCTTACCTTCTCTCCCTTTACCTTTTTATCGATCGGCTGATCCCGATCCGAAATCGGGAAACGAAATCTCGCGGCCGCGATCGTCATTTCGTTCTTGTTCGTCGCCGAGTTGTATTGTATTTCACGATC